TTTTGTTTTGACAGAATCTCCCTCTGTCACCCAGGCTGGAGTGCAGTAGCACTATCTCAGCTCACTGCAACCTCTGTCTCCTGGGTTCAAGCGATTCTCCTGCCTCAGCCTCCAGAGTAGCTGGGATTACAGGTGTGCACCACCACACCTGACTAATTTTCATATGTTTAGAGATGAGGTTTCACCATGTTGGCCAGGCTGGTCTTGAAATCCTGACCTCAGGTGATCTGCCCATTTTGGCATCCCAAAGTGCTGGGATTACAGGCGTGAGCCACTGCACCCAGTGTGTAGTCACTGCTTTTATGCAACGTAAAATTTTCCTCAATGCTTGACAGCATCTTGAAGGTCATTTTCTGGTTATTAGACTTGTGAAGCCCTAGTGGAGTACAACTTAATGCTAGAATTTCATACTTAACTTATGTTTCTTCCTTCCCTTCTTTCCAGTTCCAACGATGCTGGGGTTTGAGGTACTGGAGTAGATTCTTAAATGTGATCCTGTTGTGGTTTTAAAATCTATTCTCTTCCCATACCTTTCCTGGGTTTGCTGGGATAGGGTAATTGTATTAAGACATGAAAAGAGAAAATGTCTCTTTACTGAAATGGTTGTAGGGGTCTTTTGGCCAACACTGAGCATAGATGCTTTCTCCATGGTGAGTCCAAATGCTGGTCTTCCTCGCTTAATGACTTTCTGAATGGGTCTATCATGAACATCAGATTTGATCCTTGAATTTTTCACTTGGTGCTGGCTGTCTTAAGGAGGATCTTGGCAATATAGTTCAATCCCAACTACTCTCTATCTAGGCATCCACTAAGCTCTCAAAAAATTGTTTCAATAGTAGATGATAGAAGTAAAGGCTATTATGCCTTATCTATCTGCAGTCTATTTTTCTCCCAGATCAAATATGCTAAGACATATTAGCCTTTCTCAATTCAACAAGAAATATTGAAAATTTGAATGAGATTTTAGCCTCCTTTTACACATGCACTCTGAATCTGAATCATTCTGGTACTGATCACATGCTGGCTTTGGGAGACAAGTGAACCACATTCGTTTTTCTTACATGCAGGTAAGGAAAGACCAGCAGTGGGAACAAACCCTGCAACTCCTAAGATAGGATGGGGAAGGGTTGAGATGGTAATTAAAGGTGGTGGAATCTAGATGCTTTTTAACCTTGAAATGGGGTGTCTCTATGTCTGTATTTCCTGCCTAAGGTTTTGGTGGTAGGATCTTTTTGCATACATACATGTCTGTGCTTTCAATTTATAATCTTGGGATGTGTGTGTGGCTGGCTTGGTTGAGTCATAGTCCATTTAGCCATAGATAGAAGGTTTATCCCATCTAACAATCAGTTTGCTTTTCAAAACTTTTATTGACTCCAGAGCCTCAAAGTCAAGTCTAGGATCAATTCTGGATCAATAAGTAACATCCTATTCAAGATTCTGTTACAAATTCTTTATTTAGATTGACTGAGCTAATTTGCCTTTCCCCAAAAAGTCAGTTATTTTGGGTTATCACTTATAACTAACATTTTTCCCACAGAAAGATCTGTATAGCTATTAATCCTGTGCTTTTCTTTTGCTTGCTCTGTGTTTAGGCTTAAATTCCCATCTGTGATACAATTTGGAATAAATGCGTTTGATGCCAACACCTTGAAAAATATCCCTCAAAAAACAAAAGAACAAGAGCCACCAGCTCCCGAACAAAGTAAAACATGGGAACCTAATTTTAAGGGTATTAATAAGGTAAGAATATAAGGGTTGTTTATTTTATAGTTAACTATAATTTATTAAATATAACTTCAATGAAGAAAATAATGTGAATTCCTATTTGAATGCTGCATGATGAAATTGCTGTGGTTTCCAGATGAACCCTGTAGAATTAGGTATCCTGGTCTGTACTTAGATAAAGTTAGTTTTCTTGCTGCACATCAACATGAATAGGGTCCATACTGGTCCTTACCTATCCTCTCAGATACTGAATTGCTCATTTTCAATATCGTTTGTGACAAAATGAAATAGTTGTCATGGAAGGCTCATACCAGATCTCTTATTTTATACCAATATCTGCATAAAAAGATGTCCATATACATATAAGTAGGCAGATAGGTAAACTAGGCTTAAATTTAGAGGAATTTGCTACATCTAATTAACAGTTTTCCTGAAATTAATACCTGTAGAAAATACCTTTCTTAGAAAGGGTTTTTCTACTGAGCTTATTTTAAAAGAATGCCAGAAAACTTGTGCATATTAACAATTAGCCTTGAAGTTGACATTTCATAAAGAAATATGCTTTGTTCTAGAGATCTGAAAACCATTTAAAGTTGAAATATATGGCATAATTACTTGATAGTCTCAGAAAGGCAGTGATCTAGTCAGTATGTAGATGCTAATCACTTCTAATAACATAATATCTAATGATTATATTTGATATAGTTGGGTAATACCATTGATTACATTTTAGGTTAGAAATTTGATTTTTTTTTTTTTTTTTGAGACTGAGTCTTGCTCCGTTGCCAGGCTGGAGTGCAGTGGCATGATCTTGGCTCACTGCAAATTCTGCCTCCCTGATTCAAGTGATTCTCCTGCCTCAGCCTCCTGAGTAGCTGGGACTACAGGTGCTTGCTACCACGACTGGCTAATTTTTGTATTTTTAGTAGAGATGGGGTTTCACCATATTGGCCAGGCTGGTCTTGAACTCCTGACCTCAGATGATCTGCCCGCCTTGGCCTCCCAAAGTGCTGGGATTACAGGTGTGAGCAACTACGCCCACCCTTTTTTCACATTACTTCTAACTGAGCATGCATGAGTTTATCTGAACATGTTTTTTTTTTTTTTAGGTAAGAGTTATATTTAAGCAGCTCTTAACTGCTCCTGCCCCTCACCAACAGGCTACAGGAGCAACTACCCATGAGTCACTGCATCAATAATGCCTGTGTTATAACACCCTCTCCTCCCTGAAGTATGGGAGCAAGTGGTACATGTTTGTCTGAGAACCAGTTTCATCAATACTGCTGTTGTATCTGTCCAAAGATGAGTAGCAATATCTGTTACCAGTTTCACTGCCTATTGGAGTTTTGGATAACATATCTATACCATGATATTTACACTTTTTAGTGAGTTAATTTTAAGTGAAATGGCCATTCTAACTCTGTGAAATCAAGTTCATATGTAATAAAGCTTGCCCATATCCGGTGTGTACTTTTCTGAATGAACATTCAGCATTTTTATGATTTAGTTGCTCACTTTAATTTTATCCATTATGCTTAGTAACTATGTCTTAGTGAAATATATTGAAATCTTCATCCCCTTTTATAAGGAGGATTTTTCCATCAGTCCTTCATCTTTGACTTTCTATACTGCTTTTTTCTTTTCTGTTTCCCGGTAATGTCTCATGAGGAAATATTGTAAACTTATTTTGGCATTGTACATTTCTTTCCTATTACCTTGATAAAGCAAGTCTAGAAGAAAATAAGATTCCAATTGTTCTTTGGCCTAATTTTGAAAGTGTTGTAACAATACAGGGCCACAACTACATGATCACACCACCCTTCCCACCATCAGTCCTTTGCTGGCGATTTTCTTAGTGAATAAGGTCACTTGCTCTTCCTTTTGAGGCTCCTGAATTGACTGGCAAAATGTCGAGCAGGGAGATCCAGCTATAAATCCCAGATGAGGATTTCCATTGCATGGAGGGTGGCAAAGATCTGTACACCAAGCCCTATGATGCACAATTTACATATATAACACACCTGCACAGGTACCCCTGAACCAAAAATTAAAAAATAGCCATCTGTTGCCCCCAGTGCACTAGGATACATGTATTTATTTAACAGTCACTGCAGTAATGAGGCAGGTACTGTACTCATTAACTCAACCTAAAAAGTCTCAATGGTGAATTCAATTGACCAAAATCTCTATATGTCAGCATGAGGTTTTGATCCAGATGGTTTTGGTTTTAGACCTTAATTTTTGACATTAAATGTCTGATGCTTTGAAAAATCTTGTTTTTAAAATTAACGTTTAGTGTAAGTATTCACTAATTTCAATCATAATGATTTCAGGAGTATACAGTGTATCAAAGGGAGATAAGAAAGATAATAATCTGTCTTATTTTTGGTAAGGATTTATGCAGCCATGAAAATGAAGAAACAGTATCTCTGCCTTAAAGAATCTTACTAATTTCCTGGAGGCATAGCAGTAACAGGCTGACCGGTCAGAAAGCTGGTGAAAACTGTTTTTGAATTAAAAGGTTAGGGTCAAGGGTCAAGAGAAGTGGTACATTGAGGATATATTTTGCAGGATATTAAAACATACAAATGGTTTCGACATTGAGTGTGAGAAACACACTGGAATCAAGCATGTCTCCTGCGATTTGGGGCTATTAGTGGGTGACTTGTGGTGCTACTTAGATAAGAAAGGTTTCTTTGGGAGTCAACACTTAATATTTGTACAGGCTTAAAAATATAGCATCTTTTAAGTCTTAGCAGTTTTGCTGGTTTTCTCTCTTTCTATCTTGTGTTCTTCAACGTCAAAAAAGAGTGGGCTCAAAGTTAATGTGGTTAGGGGAGTTAGCAGGTTTTGTTCTTCTTAATGGTTGTGACAAAATATAGGACAAAAGCAAACTGAAAGTCAATTCCAGGGGTGCCCTAATAAGAGAATGGGATGAAGTGGGGCACAGGTAGATGGGTCAGATGGGTGTGATCAGCGATGGCTGCTACACCTGCGGGCACCCGAATAATCCTAACGCAGGCATTTAAGTAATGTTCTAGCATATACAGTGTAACCTAGATAGCTACAGAGAAAACTGCTACAATATTTGTGGTTTAATTTTGATAAATCGAATCAAATATTTCCACATATGAGTTCATTATGCTAAGATATGTTTGGTGTAATACAAATAATTACACATGTGCTCTCTGCCAAGAATATTTTGAACAAACTGTGTATAACTTTAAATTTTCCTTATACACTTGCTTTATTCTGCATGTGTGTTATAGAAAAGTTGTTTTATATTTGGATAAGGTCACAGTGGTGGTGCAGTTTGAGTTGCCTCAAACGTTACGCAAACAGACAGTGCAACTAATATATTGAAAGAAAGCACATGGACTTTTCTCTTCAGAACTTAGTAATCAGGTATCTCCAAAAATTCTAGAACACAATGAATAGGGCCAACCAACTGCCAATATAAGGTCCTCTACATGTAAGTTCGGAAACAATTGCTAATGGGATTCTTTTATTCTTATTTTTTTTGAATTTGATCAATGAATCCAAATTAGCACATATGACTGCTTTAAGTGTTTTTTTGAGTAGTAATATCCATCGTTTGTTGAATTTTTAATCAGTTTAATAATTTGTTAGTTGATTTTTTTAAAATAAGTTGATTATATCAGCTGAAAGTAGTAACAATATTAACTTTCAGGCCAGGCACAGTAGGTCACACTGTAATCCTAGCACTTTGGCATGCAGAGGCGGATGGATTGCTTGAGCCCCGGTGTTTGAGACCAGCCTGGGAAACATGGCAAAACCCCATCTCTACAAAAATTATCCAGGTATGGTGGTGGGTGCTTGTACTCCCAGCTACTCAGGAGGCTGAGATGGGAGGATCACCTGAGCCCAGGAGGTTGAGACTGTGGTGAGCTGTGATCGTGCCATTGCACTCCAGCCTCGGTGACAGAGTGATATCCTGTCTCAAAATAAACCAAAAGTAACTATTTCAAATATATAAGTTTTTCATCTCTTGTTGGAGTACAGTAAGTTTTTTGTTTTTCTGCAATAGCAAAGATGTAGGCCTTGTTTTGTGCCTAGTTTTAATGGAAATAATTATTCTCAGTTAGTATGATGTATCTCTGGGTATATTATTGATATGTTAATTCTTCCAGCCAATTTTAAAAAAAATCTGGCTTCTGCAATAGCATCCTTTCTCGGTGATCATTATTTGCCTTTAGGAGCTCCTCCGTGGTTGAAATTTCTCTTATTTTCCTGTTTATTGGGGTTCCTAGGGATAGGACATTGAACTGCTCACCCCATCTATATATATCCACTCCCTTGGAGAGTTTATTCAGTCTCATTGTTTTAATTAACAACACTATGCTTATGGCTTCAAGTTACATCTCTGTTCTGGACTTCACCCCTGAAAGGTAGACTCAGTTATTCATTTTCCTGTGCAGCATATTCAAGTGACTGGTTAAAAAACTGCTTAACCAAAATATGTATAACATGGACGTGCCTAAATTTCTTTGCCACTCCAAACCTCCACCTTAGCCTTCCCTGTCAGAATGTCACCAAGATATTCTGTCGTACGTATTTCTCTTAAAAATTTAGTTTTGCCTTTCATATTTAGATGTGTAATATCACAGTTTTAATTTTATTTTAATAAGATCTATATAACTTAAAATTTACCATCTTAACCGTTTTTAAGTGTACAGTTCAGTAGTGCTTAGTACATTTACATTGTTGTATAACAGAATTCTTCATCTGTACATTGTGAACAGAACTCTTCATCTTGTAAAACTGTAACTTTATACCTGTTAAAGAACTTTGTAGCCACAATGTGATAATGCTGGCTGCTCAGACTTTTAAACTATTTTTTAATTTTTAATTTTTGCCGGTACATAGTAGGTGTATATATTTATGGGGTACCTGAGATATTTTGATATAGGCACGTAGTACATTAATAGTCACACCATGGAGATTGGGATATCCATCTCCTCAAGCATGTATCCTTTACATTATGAAGAATCTGA